TGGTATCCTAAGCCTACACCACCTGATATCCAGTTTGAAGAAAGAAATAATTTGAGTCAGTTTTCTGTTTCTTCTGATAAGTTGTATGAGTGGAATATAGACGGTTTGTCTGAGCAAGAAATAATGAACAAGTTAACTCATATGTCTATGGTAGCCAATAGTTATATCACCAATCATAATCTTCGTCAATCTGAGATAGTCCCTTTATTAGAAACCGGTTTTACTAGAACCTTACGTTCCTGGTGGGATAAACACTTAACTGATGAGTCTAGAAGAAATATAATACATGCTATCAAACTTAATGAAGAAGGTCTCCCCATATTTTATGAGAATATAGGCCGCAGTGTAGAAGACGGAGTCAACACCCTCCTTTACACAATAGTCGATCATTTCATAGGAACACCAAGTCATACCCAAGCTAGAATACATGATCAACTAAGTAATTTAAGATGCCCTCAATTAAGTGATTTTAGATGGTATAAAGATGTTTTTATTTCCCGAGTAATGCTACGAGAAGATAGTCATCAAGCTTTTTGGAAAGAAAAATTTATTAATGGATTACCAAATTTATTCGCCCACAAAATTCGAACAGTCTTAAGTAATGAGTTTGGACATATAGATTATGATAATTTAACTTATGGTAATATAATTAGTATGATTAATCAAGAAGGTATGAAAATGTGTATTGATATGAAAATTAGTAGACAAATTCAATCTGAAAGAAAATCTGCTAAATATGAGTTAGGAAATTTCTGTAAACAATATGGTTTAATTGCTATCCCTCCTTCCAGAAAAAATAAGTCCAATTACCCTAGTCATATCCGTAAGAAAAGACATTATAATAGAAAGAAACAATTCTTCCAATATAATAATGAGCATAATGAATTCTATAGGAAAAGAAAGTCTCACCCTAAGAAAAATTGGTCAAAAGTGCCAAAAGATAATCATCACTTTAAGAAAAGTATTGATAAAAGAAAAGTAAGATGCTATAAATGTCAAAAGTTCGGTCACTATGCTAATAAGTGTAAGGTAAAAGATGCTATCCGACAATTAAAAATAACAGATAAGGAAAAAGCCAATTTAATTAAAGTTCTTGAGATACGTAAATCTGAGTCTAGTGAGATTGAAACTTCGGTTAATGA